GTGTAGCTCTGCCGGGGCTGCAGCTGCACCAGGGACTCGCAGGTGGGGATGCCCACAACAGACCTGGGCAAGGGAGCAGAGCCGCATGACCGCGAGCCCACGCACCAGGTCTCTCTCTCTTTTTTCTCAGTCTCCGTAGAGACCATCCGTAATTACCGACTATATTTCAAGTCGTCATGGAGGGTATTGGGAAAAGGTTTCAATTGGCTATACCCTAGTCTCGGATAAACCTCATTGGCTACGATACTGCCCCTGTGCAAAGCTCGGGCCCCCTTTCGAACCAGGGAATCCCTGGTTCCCACACAGCCTCCCACCACGGACACCGTGTCCTCCGTACACTGCACTCTAACCCGAGTCTGCCTCAGGCCGTCCTCCTCTCCCTTTTCCACCCGCAAGGTGGGTTTTAGCTCCACCTCACACTGAGCCGTGTGGCTGCCTCCCAGGAGCGTCCTGGCACCCAGGGTTCTCAGACCCTGACCCTCCCCTCCCTCAGGCCTCAGTTTAAACATCCGCTGGATCCTGAGGCGTTTCCCACCGCCACCCATTCCTGTTTCACTACATTCCTTTCTCATCAGAGAACATTTCATGCATTTGTTCTGTTTCTTGTCTGTCTTCCCCCCTTGACTGCCAGCTCCTTAAGGGCAGGGCCCTGGCACCACCCGGGCCAGTATGCTTGTTGAATGAATGAATGGTTCAACTACTTATTCACTTATCGTTCGCTCATCGTCCACCTTCAGGAAAGCGTTCCTGCGACTTCTCACGAACACTAAGCACATTCTGAGGGTCACCAGTTCTGGCCTCCTCTGCAGACTCCTCACATTTCCTGGGCTGGGTCAGGGGTGAGACCTCTTGTGCCCAGCAAATGCCCCTCGGGACTCACTCAGTCACGCCCGAGGCTCCCGACGTCTCCGCCTGGACCAGCTCCACCGTGTACGAGTCCACAGGATTCAGGTTCCCAGACTCCCAGCAAATCAGCGCAGCCTCCTCACAGCTCCTCACCTCTTTGCTCTTTATAACGGGGGGAGAAGGTGCTAAAGGCAAGGAAAGGGCGAGGTGAACCACCGTTCTGCTCACACCCAGTCGCCTGGTCCAGAGCACGGACAGCATCACAACCACACTTTCCACAAGACATCAGGACAATGGAAAGCAAACCAGGTGCCGAAGGCTGTGTGAATTCCCGCAAATTCATGTGCTGAAACCTCCCCAGTGTGATGGCATCTGGAGTCTTGGGGGGAGGGGCTGTCATGAGGTTGGAGGGGTTATTATAGAAGAGGACAAAAGAGCTCCTTTGTCCCTTTCCTCATGGAGGACACAGCTGCCTATGGACCAGGACGGGAACTCCCACCCCAGAGTGTGAGAGGTAAGAGTCTGGGTTTCTAAGCCGCCGGTCTGTAGTTCTGTTACAGCAGCCAATAGGCACC